CAGTTTTTAACCACTGTTCAGTACACATCAACACTTCAACCATATAGTGGGTCAAACAGCTTCGGTATAGGCTTAACACTCTTCCACTTGTGCTAAATGCGGATTCAGATGCAACTGATGACACTTGCATTGCAAGTATGTCTTTCGCAATCAGTGAAAGAATAGGGAACTTGTAATAACCCGGAAGAGAGCAGAGAGCGTCCGAAGATAGTCTAGAAAATTTAAGTCCTTAAATTGATGGAGGGATAATATATTTCGTTAGTTTAGACCAAAATAAACACTTTGGTAAATTAATTTTGTCCGATTATATTTAGAGATAGCCGAGATATTCTGTTCCAATCGAGGCCATAGCAGAGCCCCATGCTTAAATTCGCCCAGTAAGTAGGTAGTACCTACCACCCTTTTAAGAAGCAGGTTAGGTAGTACCTACCACCGTTTTAGAAAGTGGTTAGGTGCTACTTACCACCTTCTACACAGTTGGTTAGGTGTTACCTACCACCACCCATAGATTTCCTATATATACCCACACCATTTTATCTTTCTTGTCACTTAGAAACCTAGAGAGAATTATAAAGAGAGAAAGTAGAGAGAGAAAATAGCTGTGTCCGTTTATAGCGATAGAGATTTCCGGTGAGAAGCGGTCAAGACTGTTCAAGAAGTAGTATTCACCTGTTAGAGTAAAGCTGAGTCTAGAGAAACCTTTAGCCGAAAGCACTGTGAGTTTTGGTGATGCTTGTTGCGTGATTGCGTGTTTAATTTAAATGAATGTTGTGTGATACTGTGTGCTTAAATCTTGTTTAAGTATTAATCATAATGTGTGTGAGGTTGTTTAATACTTAGCTTGATAATAAAATGAAAATTCGAAAGAGATTGAGTAGTGGCGGTTTGGTCCTTCCTTCAAGTACCCATTCATCCAGTGGACTGGTTAATGAGAAGCCTCCGAGAGACAGGATTGCAGCCTAGAGCCGAGTACTATCTGATGGGATAGTTGGGATTGTGACCGTGGAATTGGGTCCCTAAGTGATTTTCTATGCTCGTGTGCCTTGGTGGCTGCGAGATAGGTGTTCACGAGGAAGGAAGGGACCGAATGCGCGAGGTCTGTGTGGCGTTAGGATTTTCCAAAGCGTTTTATTAGTTGTGAATTGTTTGTTGTGTGTTATTTTGGGGTTTGGGTGGGAATTATTATACTTGTTAGAGGGAACCATAACTCGTTGGGTGATTAGCACTCACCCCCTCACTCCACCATGCAGGTAACCAGTAAACATGAACCCTAGTCGAGAAGGAACGTTAGGCTGCCGGAGTTCAGTTTTCATTGTCTTTGCAAAATATATGTTTTGGTGGTGTTTATGTAAACATTTTGGGCGTTAGGCTCGAGTGAAAACTCTTTAAATATGTTGTTGTTTTGAAAAACCTTGATATAAGATAAATAAAAACATATTTTCTATATCAACTGGTTTCGTCTGATATTAGCTTAGTCCGAGATAACACAACTCTCGGCTGGGGAATGGGTTGGCAAGCCTTAGGCCTTAGTCGCAAGGAATGATAGTAGCAATGGTCTGACTTAAGTAGTATGGGATGCTTAAGTTGGGTCGTCTCCGCTGCAGATGGTTTGGCCAGAGTAGTATGGGATGCTTTGACCGGATCGTTTGCGCTATCATTGTTGTAGCACATCCGGTGCGGTTATGGAGCCGCATCGGGGGTGTTATAAATGGTGGTATCAGAGCATGGTTCATGATCATGTTTCAACGAGACTCAGTTTTCAAATGGTTTTATCGAGTCAAAATGAGTAGCAAAGGCAACTAGGAAAACTGGTACGTTCCTTTGTAGGTAGTTGAGCTAGGACTTACCCTTGATAATTATTGCAGATGCCAATGAGAAGAGTTTTCATAGGAGGACAGTTGTGTGGGTCGCGGTCAGTGAGAAGGGCGACACGTCAAACGGATTCTCCTAGCAATTCTATTTCAGAAACAGTATCTGAATGGGGATCATCAGATGATACTGAGACCGAGTTGGAGAGTGAGAGTGGTTCATTGTCTGAAGATGATAATGAACAAGGGGAGTCAAGCTGGGATGATTCAGAACAGTTAGAGTCAAATTGCAGATATGTTGAGCCAAGAGGACGAAAAAATGAGTATGGTGAGTCACAGAACGTGTATCTGAGGCCTTCTGAGCTCAGATATGATTACCAGAGACCAACCTACAGTCCAAGACAGTCAAGAAAATGCGTAAATCGAAGGATGGGTCAGGTAATGGCAATGATGCATGACCAGCCCGCCAGTGCGCAGCACTATCATCAAGCAGATTTTCCAACAAGAAGTTTGGGACCACCGGAATTTCTACATATGGTAACCATGGTGAAGAATTTGGGGATATCTCATTTTGAGGGTGGAACAAAACCATTTGATGCTGATGCATGGTTACAAAAGCTAGGAAAGAGTTTCACAGCCACGCGATGCCCATAGGAATTCAAGAAAGATGCAGCAATCTATTATCTAGACAAGGATGTGGAGGATTGGTGGATAAGTATCAAGAGATATTACCACCACATGGAATTAACCTGGCGAGATTTTTGATGGGAATTTACAAAGAAATATTTTCCCCCAGAGGCAAGAGACCGAATGGAGAATCAATTTAACAGAATAGAACAAGGAGAAAGATCTGTGAGGGAGTATGAAGCCGAATACACGAGACTACGGAAGTATGTCCACTATGGTTACGACGATGAAGACACTATCATCAGAAGGTTTATGCAAGGGTTAAGGCCAGAATTTCGAAGCCGCTTACAAGTCGTTAAATTCAGATCTTTCTTGGAATTAGTTAAACGAGCCGTAAACATAGCAGAAAGTATTAAAGATGAAGAAGAAGTTGGGAAGCGAAACTATAAGAGAAAATATGATGGATATGCTCAAGGTGAATCATCCACACAGCCTCCAGAAAAAGGGCAAACAAACAGTCAAGGGAAGAGAAAAGGAACCAAAGATAGTAGCACGGAAAGCCCGGCAGACAGAGTATGTTACTATTGCCAGCAAACTGGACACATAGCACGGACATGTCCAAACAAAGAACGGAATGGACCACCTGTTCAAGTGCAAATCACTTGCTATGTTTGTGGTGAAAAAGGGCATTATGCAAGGTCATGTCCTAGAGTTCTTCCCCAAGGTGCTCAACTTAAAGCGTTATCACTAACTGAAGAACCAAGCCATTCGTCTGCGCCACCTAACCTGTTCTGTTATATATGTAGGGGAAGGGATCATTCTACTCTTTCGTGTCCACCTGACCCAAATACTCGACTCAATAAAATAATGGAGCTTGTGTATCCAACTCGCCCAGCAATAGAAGCACCGCCCACAAATCAACGACCTACGAAGCCGCCACTGTTCCAGCGACCTGGTGCAAGTCGTGTATATGTTAGTATGGTTAGTAGTGAACCTGGACCTTCTCAAGGTTATCGTGCAGTTAATTAAGGGTGCAAACTCTCTTGATGATTGATTGTGTGCTTGTTTGATTGTGTAAGTATTGTTTTGTGTTAAGTAAAGAACCCTAGGAGTCCCAGTCAATAGATTTTAGGAGAACTCGTTACGCCTATCCTTAAAAATTCGGGACGAATTTTTTTAAGGGGGGAAATAATGTAATAACCCGGAAGAGAGCAGAGAGCGTTTGAGGATAGTCTAGAAAATTTAAGTCCTTAAATTGATGGAGGGATAATATATTTCGTTAGTTTAGACCAAAATAAACACTTTGGTCATGCCGGAATTAATTTTTCCGAGTATATTTAGAGATAGCCGAGATATTCTATTCCAATCGAGGCCGTAGCCGAGCCCCATGCTTAAATTCGCCCAGTAAGTAGGTAGTACCTACCACCCTTTTAAGAAGCAGGTTAGGTAGTACCTACCACCATTTTAGAAAGTGGTTAGGTGCTACCTACCACCATCTACACAGCTGGTTAGAGCAGGTCCATTGGTGAACCCCTCATTGGGGTTTATCAGATTAAAAAAGTAATATTTTTTTTGTTTAAAGTTTGGAAAGAACTCGGGTGTGATTTGTGGTTCCAGTAGTGAACCCGGGATTAGGGTTCTTTCCGAATTAAAAATTAATATTTGTTTTTTAGATTTTTTTTTAAGAAAATAAAATAAAACACTTAAGTATTAAAAAAAAAGAAATACAGTTCATTACACATAATTTTGAAAACACGAAATATAGAAAAAAAATTTTATTACAAGAAAATTACAAAACATACAATATTTGAAATATAGAAATACTTAAAACATTTAAGAAGTACCAAATTTATTCCAAAGATTTTCTATTAAATCCGCTTTCAAGCGTTCATGTATCTGGTTGTCACGGACTTCGTTTTGTTTCGCCATCATCAAATTATAGATATTTGTAGGCATGTTTGTAGAATACGTCCTATCGACATGCGAATTTCTGCTTCCTTCTGGTTGATCGAATTTTTGTATATTGTATAGACTATAGCCATGTCGTTCGTTTTCTACTATCGTATTGTGTAATATGATACAGGCCCGCATAATCTTGCCAAATTTTTCTTTATCCCAAAAAAGAGCTGGATTTTTTATTATTGCAAATCTAGCTTGCAGAACGCCAAAAGCCCGCTCGACATCTTTTCGGACGGATTCTTGAGCTGTTGCAAATAACTTATTTTTCTCTCCTTGAGGAAGATGAATTGATTGTATAAATGTTGCCCATTTGGGATAAATACCGTCCGTGAGATAATATGGCAAACGGTACTCGTTACCGTTTACCCAATATCTCACTTTTGGAGCTCGACCATGCAAGATGTCATCAAAAACTGGCGAACGATCAAGAACGTTAATATCATTTAATGTACCTGGAGGTCCAAAAAATGTGTGTCATATCCAAAGATCGTGTAATGCAACTGCCTCTAAAACGATTGTCGGTTTTCCGGACCCCCCGTGTATATTGTCCTCTCCATGCGGTCGGACAATTCTTCCATTCCAAATGCATACAATCGATGCTTCCTATCATCCCGGGAAAGCCCCGATCCTCTCCACTGTTCAGTAAGTGTTGAAGATCATCAGATGTGGGTCTTCTCAGATACTCATCTCCGAACAAGGATATTATACCCTCGGTGAAATTTTCCAAACATAACAATGTCGTACTAGCACCGAACCGTAGATACTCGTCAACTGCATCAGCTGTGGTACCATATGCCATCATACGGATTGCCGCAGTACATTTTTGGAGAGGAGATAGACCTAATCTTCCGATGGCATTTCTTCTTTGCTTGAAGTACAGAACTTCATTGGAGAGGCGGTCAACTATACGCATGAACAAATCTTTGTTCATTCTAAAACGCCGTTTGAATGTATCTGGCGGGTAAGTAGCATCATCACTAAAATAATCGTTCCATAACCGAAAGTGGCCTTGTTCCCGCTCTCTTTCGATATATGCTTTCTTTTTTTTTCTTTTTTCTGCATGCTGATTAATAGACTCGAATTTCGCATCAAACTTTCGATCAAATGCATCATCAAAAGCATCATCTAATGCATCATCATATGCATCATCCAATCGATCATTGCTTGATGATGCTGCCATAATATTTGTATTTAGATGTTTGTGATTAGAGATAAGGAGAGAAAGGGTTTGTGATCAGAAAAGAATTTAACCAAGTATGAGATCTGATAAGTTTTTTGTGTTTGGTAAAGAGCTTTTGTTTGGTTGGGATGAGAGTTTTGTGTTCACCAAAATGTTGAAGAAGTTTTTTTTAGAGGAAAGATGAGGAAGTTTGAGAACAATATGAGAACAAAATGAAAGTTACATACGTTTGAACACATATAAATACACGGCGCCTTGTTCAAACATGTGGCTAAAATCCTAGTTTGAAACATATGGTCAATATTACATAAGAGAAGATGTGGTTACAAGGGAAAACAACAAAAGCAATTTGGCCCCTCCACCATTACAACATATGGTCACAGACGTTTCAGGGTACTTGTACTGGCCAAGTGGCTGTCACACATCCTGCAAAAAAAAAACAAAGGTCATAAAGTATAATTGGAACAACAAAGAAAAACATATCAAAAGATACCATAACGAAAGCAAAAAACATATCACAGAGTAAATGGAACAAGGAAGCAAATATCATTAGTCAACAAAAGATACTTGAGAGATACCAATAGAAGGTCATACTTACTAAAACAACATCAAACCAAAAAAGGATAAAAACGAGTAGTCCACATCATACCAACAAGTAAATTATGAACTAAAGACCATACATAGCACTGAATAACTTGTTTTTTAGTGCAATCTCAATCTCAGTTAAAGGTTCAGTCTTAGCTAAAAGACTCTCAAGAATCCTCTTGTCCCTAATCTTGTCTTTCATTTCTAGATCCCTTTGTTTCATGTCCCACATTGATGAAAACTCCTTCATATCCTTGGTCTCAGCTTTTACACCGCCTGCTTTCTTCGCATTAGCCTTCGAAGCCTTGACACCAGGTGGACGAGCCTCAACCTGGTCTTCGTTGACACTCCCAGGCATCGACGTGGAGGACTGGTCCGAGTCGTCCACTTTTCTTCTTTTTGCTGATGCACCATCTTTTACTGAGCTGGTCGTGCACCATTTCTGATCGAACCGCAGCTCTCTCCAGGTGTGTTCAAGTGCAAACTTGATGCCGTAGTCGTTGAAGAAAATCTCGTGCGCAAGCTTCATCACATCGTTTTCATTCTGACCACTAGTTTTTTCCTTCTGTGCACCTGAGTAGGAACCCACAAACTTACAAGTCTGCTCATTTATCCTACCCCCATCGTTGCTTACACTGCGACCATTCTCTTCTAGGCAGTCCAACCAGATCCGGGCATGCGTTGTAATAAAGCTGGATCCGCTTCCAGAACGCACCAGCCTTTTGTTCGTTGCCCACTACTGGATCCTTGCTGGTGTTGAGCCACGCACTAATCAAGACCAAGTCTTCCTTCGGACTCCATAATTTTCTCTTCATTGCAATGTCAGACGGATCATCAGATCCTTGTGTGCTGAACAAGGGAACGTCTGATGATCCTAAATCTATGCACGGCTAGTAAATATCAGAGCTTAACTGACAACTTAAAAAGATTAACAAACCCTTCCCCATGCGTGAATGAGTTCTGCGAGTCCATGTCAATGAAAGAAAGTATGAAGGACTTAACAAGCGGAAGAAAGGAATGAAAGACCGAGTAGAAGAAACACAAAGAGAGTGAAAGAACGATTGAAATGATTCAAAGAAGATTGAAAGAAAAACTGAAGAGAGCGAATGAAAAACGAGAGTTAAAGGATTAAAAGTGAAAGAGTGAAAGAGTGAATGAAAGAAGTGAAAGAGTGACCGAGTAGAAGAAAGAGTGAAAGAATGATTGAAAGGATTCAAAGAAGATTGAAAGTAAAACTGAAGAGAGTTAATGAAAAACGAGAGTTAAAGGATTCAAAGTGAAAGAGTGAAAGAGTGAATGAAAGAATTGAAAGAGTGACCGAGTAGAAGAAAGAGTTTGAGAGAGTGAGAGGTACTTTTTAAGAGAGAGTTAAATAGATTTATGGTTGCGTGTCTTTTATGTGTCTTTATGATAGTAGTTATGTGTCTTTTAATTGTTGGTTGAGTGTCTTTTAAATTGTGGTTGAGAGTGTTTAAGAGAGTTTAAAGTTTTCGAAGAAGTTTTCAATTTTCGTACAAGTTGTATATTATTACGTAAACCTAACATGTCCAATCAAGCATTAAACACAACTAAACCCTAAACAGATAACCTAATCTAGTTCAACTATACTTCTCACAACCCATATAGTTTCAAGACAACTAACCTTTACTCCGTGATCCATATGCCATCGGTGAACCGAATGCCATGAAGTCCAACCCTTGTACCCGTAGAGTCCAAATAAGCCTCACCAAAAAGGATTAAAAAAGAACATTAGTACAACTACAATACTTTAGCCGAAGTTAAAACTTTATCTTACACTACTAATAAATGCGAGCCATATCTACACCTTAAAGATGTATGCGATGGCTGCAATAACACAAATAAAAAACAGCATAGAGAAACTGTCACCTTGAGTGAAATGCTCCTTCAAAACCCTGACTTCTCCCTGAAGCCTTGCTAGCTCCTCACCGACTTCTCCCTGAACCCTTGCCATCTCCGCGCAGAGTTCTCCTATGGCTGGATCGACAGAGTTGACTCTACCCCGATCAAGACTGAGGATGAGGTCCTGCTGCTTTTCTATCTTTCTCTCGAGGATTTCGAATTCTTCTGTTACCGCATGATCCCACCATTGGTGGATGTGCTCATAAGTAAACTACATGAATTACAAACTGTTAGTAAGAATATCGTAAAGATTGAACCCAAATAAATACACAGCTGACGTAGACAGAAAACATACCTGGTTAACATATTCCGGGCAAGAATAATACTTGCGACCGTCCGTGTAAGTATTGAGCTTCACATCCCGGCCACAGAAGCACTTCTTGGGTATGCCGTAAGTACCATCCGTGTAAGCCCAGTACGGGACCTGTGGACCTTCCTCAGATGAGTCGCTGCTGTAGCTTGGCATTCTGTACACGAAATAATATGTCATTCCTAAACAAACATACATGTAAACAGCAAAACTTAAACAGCAAACAATACATACAGGTAAGTACTAAACCCTAACATACATGATCATACAAATGATACTATAAAAACGATACTACACCATATATATCAAACACATAAACAGTTCATCATCATCGAGCATGTATTTATCACTACAGAGCATGTAAACGCAAAAACAAAAACAGTGAATCATCGATAATGCCAATCTTAATTGCACAAATAGAATATGATCATATCAGATATTCATATATATCAAAAACCAAATGGTTTAAAGGCCAACTTAAAAACGCGATTCACATTATGAAATCACATGATCAAAAAAACACACAATCATATCCGCAAATGGCTATTACAATACACAGGCATGTTGAGCATGACTTAATTGAATCCCAGTTTTAATGCCAATAAAAAGCCCTAAATAAACCCCCAATTCAAAAACCTTAATTTCATCGGAAGAAAATTCAGCTCATGAATCTTAAAATCCATGAAAACGTTTTTGAAATAAGGGTATCACGGTTGTATATCAATGAATTAAACCTCAATTGCAACCCCAAAACAAAGCCTCAAATTTTTCCCCCAATTCAAAAAAACCCTAATTTCATCGATTCAAATTACAGTTCAAATCTACTAAATACGTTACGCATAAGCGCTTTGGGGTATCAAACACGACAGACGAACCTCTAATCAACCCTAATTTCACCAAAAAACTCCGCAAATTTCACTCGATTTTTTAACCAAAAAAATCGCCAACCCTAAATACCCAAAATCGAAAACAAGAAGCACACTAACACAGCACAGATGCTAACCTGGATGACGGAGACGGAAGGGCGATGATCGGAATACAGAAATACTGGCCAAAAACGATGGACTCGACGGTTTACGTGGATTCAGAGAGAATCGCCGGAGAAACCGAAGAGAGAAGTAAAAAGAGTCGGGGAAAGAAAATGATTTTTTTCAACCCCAAATTTTTTTTTGCCCGCAAAATTACCTTTTTTATCTTGGCCAATCTGCTTACGCCACGTGGCTCGGATCCGGGGTCCTCGGACTCGTCGGGATGAACCGATCCTTCAGCTTTGGGCCTTTTTTCTTTATTTTAAACCCAAAAAACATCAAAACCTGTGCCCAAAACTTTGGACGAGCCCCCAATGGACCTGCTCTTAGGTGTTACCTACCACCACCCATAGATTTCCTATAAATACCCACACCATTTTATCTTTCTTGTCACTTAGAAACCTAGAGAAATTATAAAGAGAGAAAGTAGAGAGAGAAAATAGCTGTGTCCGTTTATAGCGATAGAGATTTCCGGTGAGAAACGGTCAAGACTGTTCAAGAAGTAGTATTCACCTGTTAGAGTAAAGCTGAGTCTAGAGAAACCTTTAGCCGAAAGCACTGTGAGTTTTGGTGATGCTTGTTGCGTGATTGCGTGTTTAATTTAAATGAATGTTGTGTGATACTGTGTGCTTAAATCTTGTTTAAGTATTAATCATAATGTGTGTGAGGTTGTTTAATACTTAGCTCGATAATAAAATGAAAATTCGAAAGAGATTGAGTAGTGGCGGTTTGGTCCTTCCTTCAAGTACCCCATTCATCCAGTGGACTGGTTAATGAGAAGACTCCGAGAGACAGGATTGCAGCCTAGAGCCGAGTACTATCTGATGGGATAGTTGGGATTGTGGCTGTGGAATCGGATCCCTAAGTGATGTTCTATGCTCGTGTGCCTTGGTGGCTGTGAGATAGGTGTTCACGAGGAAGGAAGAGACAGAATGTGCGAGGCCTGTGTGGTGTTAGGATTTTGCAAAGTGTTTTATTAGTTGTGAATTGTTTGGTGTGTGTTATTTTGGGGTTTGGGTGGGAATTATTATACTTGTTAGAGGGAACCATAACTCGTTGGGTGATTAGCACTCACCCCCTCACTCCACCATGCAGGTAACCAGTAAACGGAAACCCTAGTCGAGAAGGAACACTAGGCCGCCGGAGTTCAGTTTTCA